GGGGGGGGAGAACTTGTTTTTGTTTTTTTATGAATAATATTAAAATTGTTGTGAAAGTGTTGTTATCACGTGTTTGTTTTTATATGTCACCTCTTTATCTCTCATATATTTCATTTATATCTTTAATTAACTGGATTTTAGTTAACAGATTGTTATTGCGTAAGGAAAAGCAAATCCATTTGTATAGAAAAATTCTGGTTTTTTGAATATTTATCCATTTTGTGTTTTTTTTTTTTTGCAAAATTATACTATTAGTGTGGTTTCTTTTCTTTCTTATCATTTCATTCATTTTGCAAAGGTAAATTTCCATTTACTGTTTTTTTTTTCTCCAATATTTGAAGTAATTTCTTTTTTTAGATATAATATAGCTAGTGGATGATATTGATCAGAGAGATTCAGATTATGAATGGATTTGAGATTGATCATTGAAAGGATGGATGATATTAATCAGAAAATTATGTGATCATCTTCACGAAGAGAATTCCATCGTATTAAGCACCTAGTAAGAACTTATCAGGCAAAAATTTCACTCATCGTCAAAAGGTATCGTTGTTTGATAAGATTATTAAGCACTATCAGCTTTGTCATTTGCATATATCTGCAGTTATAAGACTGTCGCAGTAATATGTTATACGACAAATCAAAATGAAATCTTTTATTTAGTGACGTGAACCACTTGAGGAATGATAGTATTATTTCGATTTGTTATACTGCATTTCGCACTTGTCACCAAAGAAGCAAGACAGATTTAGAAAACATTGCTGAGCAAGTGAAATTCATATTATATTAATATCTAGTTCAGTATAATATTCTTTCGAGATTGCTAACATTGTATTACATCAGACTTGAAGAAATTTGACATCAGGCAACTGTGATATTTAAAAAGTGATAAAGTTATCAACTGAAAGAAATTCACTCAATAACTTTATTATCATTTTGATCTTTTGCTTTTAACAAAATTATAAGAAATATCTTTGAAAAAAAAAACATCAGGAATTGATTTTTGGTTTCATTTTTTTTTTGCTGCAGATCGATTTCATAAGAAAATACGAAATTGAAAATGTTCCAGCAGTACTATTTGCTTTTAGTTGAATAGAAGCACCGTTTTTTTTTTTTGCGGAATGAGAAGTCAGTTTTTAGAAGTTCAAAGCAAATAATTACATCTGAAATCTGTAAATTTATTTTTTTATGAAACTTTTTGCTTGAAATTTTATCGAATACTGAAAATTATTTTACAGCATGCTTATTATAACGTTTTCTTCTTCCATAATTCTGCTTCTTTTAAGCATAATTGTTAGTTATACTGTAATCGTATTTTCATCATTTTGTTGTCATTGAGCGCTTTTTGAATTAATGCATACATAATGAAAATGATTTCCAAATAGCTCGAGCATTTCCTTATGTATATTATTTATCATGGAAATTTTCATTGTTATAATTTGAGTAAATATTGTCAAAATAAAGAAGAGAAAGGCAAAAAAAATTGGAAAAAATAAATTTATATATTAGAATTTATTAGAACTAATCGATACAGAAATTTCTTAAAACTGATCGATATTTGTAAGAGTAGGAAAGTTGTTTGTTATGAGTTTTGCATTAATTTGAAATTTTACTCCACCCTAACATGATCATCGTACTGTACAGTGTAAATGGTAGTAGCATTGTGAGAAATGCTTAGAAGAGCGGATGGTTGAGAAACAGCTGTCAAACGGAAACAGGTAAGAGAGGTTTGCTGCTCATTGACCAAACACTAAAAATACTACGATCCTTCTTCTCTCCGCTCCATAATCCTCTTCTTCATCAGTTAGAATCATATAATATCGTTAAATCGAATTTTCTAGAAAATATGAGATTGATGAAAGGGAAAAGAGAATGAAAAAGATTCGAAGAGTGATGATGGCGTTTTGCGTTTTTAAATTTCGAGATGACAATGATAGTTTATGATGATAGTGATGATTGTTGAATTGTTGAGTTGGTAGAAGTGGTTCGTTTGCTGATCATGACAGCATTTGATTTTTACATTTTGGTTTTCGGATGAATGTTCTCGTCGTTTTGTCATTATTTTTAAACAAATTTCATTCTCAATTATTTGTTGTTTATAATTGGTATTTTTATCTACAAATGTCATTTGTTTATTAGGCAAACATTTTGAAGTTAAAATCATAATGGCTTTAATTTCGAAATCATTCCTTGTCACCATTTGATTGATACTCTATCCTGAATTTATTATAATGCAGGATTTATAGTTTGTGATTTTTGATTTTTATTCTACAAAAAATCGCCATTTCGGCGGCAAGAATCGATCGCTTTTGTATATTTGTCAAATGTGCAAATTGCAAAATGTATGTGATAGTGTGGTGCGATATGACAAAGATGAAAATATTTGAGTCAAAAACCGTTATTTTCATTCAAATTTCTTCTTTTTTTTTTTTGCGAGCAGAAATTTCATGCTAATTCTTTCTGATTTTTTGCATTGGGACATATCGTCATTGATCGGAATTATTATATTTGTAGAATTTCTTTCCAAATCAGATTCCCGCTTATTTTTAACTCATTTCTTGTAAATATAGAATTACTGAACGGATTGTATCGTTTTAAGCGGATCGTATGATTTCTCGCATACATACCTGAAGAATGATTTCCTATATGGATATTTACAAAATGATTACATTTGATAATATTGTATAGTATTCCAGACTGTACCTGTTATTGTAGAATGCTGTTCTTTCTTCGTGAAATCTTTCGATAGGAATTTTGTTTTATTCACTTTCTAAAGTAATTTCAACTAAATTTTAGCACTTTCTTTTATCTAATCTAACGATTGAAATAAAAAGCTATAATATCCCAATCGAAGTTTATTTCTTCTGAAATATTGATTAATCTGCGATTTGAAGGTTGAAATTATTATTAATAGGTTATAATTTATTAAAAAGTATCATCCAAAATTTCCAAGTAAATTAGACATTATATTCGTGATGTTAATTTATTACTTTCGCTTCACTTCTTCAATTTCATCCTCTTTTTCCGCTCCGCTTTTATTCTCTCCTTTTTTATGGTTGTATGTGAAAGGAGTGGTATGTGTGGTAAAGAGTGAACGATAACAGTGTGATGAGATGGAAGTCAGTCATTTCATCTCTTCCATCGAGTTGTATTCTTCATTTTTCATTGCCTTCATCTATTCTCATATGAATCCAACTAGACGATATTCATCAGATGGATGGATGGATGGATTCTGAAATATGCGAATAGAAGGAATTCATTGTGCTCATTGTGTTTCGATTTCTGTTGTTTGTTGTTTCATCTCACTTCTCCATTATTTATTCTGCTTAAATTACCGTTCTGGTATGGTAATTATTTGTTAGTAATATGCTATTTTAATTACATGTAATTAATTTCATTCTAATTATATATTTTCGTTTTTAATGATTCATTTTTTTAGCAATTTTTAATGATATTCAATATTTTTATCATTGATTGTATTAGTAATTAATTAGTTTCCATAGTATTATTTTCATATGGTATGCATTAATTAATTAAATTAATTTCATTTGATCATTTTCATTTTCATTTTTTCTTCTACAAATACATCCTTTATCATTGTTATTGAATTGCAAATCGTCATAATATGTGCGCGAACATTCTAAAAATGTAATTTCATTACATTTGTAAAAATGTAATGAAACAAAAATCAATAATGTATTTATTTCCATAATGATTTCAATTTTTAGATTATGGCAGATCATGAGAAACGCTTGCAATTTTTACGTCAACAACTGGATGATAGCATCAGATTATATTATTGTCAACAACAACAAACTGCACTGAATCGAAGTAATAATAATGGACGATCACTGCCACTGGTCAATGTAAAGAATCGTCGAATACTTCATATGTTACATCAAGATGAAACTAATGCTTGCATACAAATCTCGGTAAATTTAAAACTTCTAAAATATTTTGCATTTGAGAAATAGGTGCCTGGTAGTTATCATGTGTAAACATTTCTACGAAATAGTTTCAATCCATAGAACTCACTCCACAATGTTTTCTGCTTCACATGTTATTGCTGCAAAGAATAAATTAATGGAGAGCATGAAGAGAGTGTGTAACATATTTGACTGCATCGAAAATGAAGGATTTAAAAAGAGTTAAGAAAGCAAACATTTGATTGTAAAAGTAGAAGTAAGCATTAAATGGTTGGTTGGTATGTCAGAGCATTTAAATCGATTAATATTTGACATAAAGTGATTATTGATTAAGGTGTGTGTAGTAAAAAGTAAACATATCCTTCTCATAATTAATAACTTTACTTATTTGACTTGTATAAAATTTTTTTTGTTGATTATTCTTTTGCATGTTTTCTTACCCGGTAATTAAAGTAATATGAGCTTGATACTTACCACTTTTCTTGAAATAGGATTTATTGAGCATCAATAAAAAGTAGAATCCTCATTTAATGGAAAAAAATTTGATCTTTTATCATAAATTAAATTTATTGATTAACCTTTTTTTCATCTCTATTCCCCTCTTCTCTCTCTCTCTCTTCGTTCCATTCAACCAGCTGAGATTGTATCGGTTTATGGATGAATGATGGAGAGAAATTTACATATTGCAGCAAAATGAAAACCGTTCTTTACCTTCCTTCAATTTCTGCTAATGCATATATATATATATATATATATATAAGTTAATATAGTTAACGGCTAGTGTAATTTATTATCGCTATTGCTTGTCAGTTGCTATCTGCTTTATGGTTCCTTCTAGTACTTCGAATTTATACTTCAATGTTTATTTTTTTGCAGTTTTCTTAAATTGTAAGAATTAGTAAAAAGTAGTAATTAATGAGCTTTACAGTTATTAGATAGGAAAGGAGGAAATTGTTAAGGAATGCATAGCACCAATATAAATATTTGGCAATTAGTGATAGTAAAAATCGATTTCATGCATACTTCTGGCGGATTATTTTGAAGAGAGAGATAAAAAGAATTTATAATTTTTGATCGATGTAAATGTTTGGGATAAAAAAAATGTATGAATGGAAATTGGTTATATTGCACTTGCTATAAGAGAATATTTTTATTTCATGCGGTATTTTTTAATGTTATATATATTAATTGCAACACGAATTACTGCTCACCTCTTTTCCTCACACATCCAACTAAATAGGAAATGATGGCATTTCTTTCTGCTCATCGAACTGTTAAATGACAGAAAGATAGATCGTAATTTCTGTATAGTTATTATTCACTTATGCCTTTTGTTTTTTTGAAGAGAATGTTGCTTTTTTTGATAAGAAAGAAATTAATTTTTCTTTCCATATGAATAAAAAAGTTCCATAATATATTATCAGTTTTGATTTAAATGTAATGTTTTTTGATGTAATGTTTTTCTTGGTTAGCTTTTTTTTTTGTTTTGGAAAATACTTAGGAATTTTTAGCGAAATGTTTTTTGATTTTTGTTTTGACATTTAGCGTTTGAAGGAATGATATATTTCAAATGATGCAATAAGTAATTCATCGTATAAGCAATGAATGAAGGATTGATTGTTTTCCTTTTTCTTGTTTTAATGCTGAAAGCGAGAGCAGCTAGTGTAAATATTCGTAGCTAAAAGTGACATTTGGCTCTTTCTCCATTTGAAGATCTTTTGTGATTTCACATTTCATCCCTCTTTCATTATTAAATGATAATGGCATTCTTTTTTTTGCGGCTTGACAATTTAGCATTAAAATTTTTGCAGGTGGGTTATAGGTTACAAGGATGGCATGTTTTAACAACCAATTGGTTTTATGATTATTCATCCAATATTAACAATAGGATGTTAAATAGTAACTCTCTGCATAAGCATTATTTGCATAAAAATTGTTGAAATAAAGTCAAAATTTATTCAAATTATCTAAATATAGCAGAAAACGCGTGCATTTTCATACGGCAGCACAATGTAATTTTCATTCGTAATTTTTCACATAAATATCACACATGAGTAATTAAATTTGAATCGGTCGTTTAATTTTTACAGGGGAATATGGCAAAGAAAAATTTTACTGCAGTAGTAGTCACGACGAAAATACCCAACAACGATTCTGATGCATTTGAGAAAGTCGATTCGTTTTTCAAGTCGGCTGTATCACCACTGCAAGTTATTGTTAATTCTGGTAATCAACAGCAAAATTCTGCTCTTGAAACAACAATTAATTTCATGGCAGGGTATGTTCAACTAATTTTTAGCACAAAATTCGGTATGATTAATGTTAACATTGAACTTAACTATTTTTAAGCGAATTTATTGCTTCAGAATTATTTTTTGCTTTCATATATGATTATTCAAAAAGTAACATTTAACAATAATGCTGATGTTGATTAAGACTTAAAGGATTGTTTGATTTTTTGTAAGTAGCTTATTCCGTTGAACAATTTAGAAGTTCTTCAGTAATATATCAGAAAGAAATAATTTGTTGTGCATTTTTAAATTTTATAAGAAGTCTCAATGATTTGGAAATTTTTTTTAAAAAAAACAGTTGTTGGAAAAGTGTGATTTTTGCAAGGTCGTTTTTCAACTGATGTAATTTTCCACACAATTATAAAAATGCATAAGGTTTTTACCACATAATACGCTTCCATTGACATAAAAAAAAAACACAAATCACTTCGATAAGAAACTTATCAATCATTTCTTAATTTTTGCTTTATCCAACAGTTTCTTAACTGGATTAGTTTTCTTTTGTAGGACGGATCTAAGATTTCTTCAGATTTAACAGTCCAGTAGGCAGCATCGATTCGGGTATATCATCACTTAGCTCATCAAACAGCTCACCTGCCTCATCACCCGGATGCTCACCAATTGCAATTAACTGTACTCCTTTTCAATACAGTAAGTGATTCTCATATGATTTGCAAGTGAATGTTTTCAATATCTGCATTTATAATTTTGCAATGAACTTTTGAACTATGTTTTAAAATGGTTCTTCTTTTTAATGGTTATTATTTCTAGTTTTTAATTTACTGTTCTAACTTGAAAGTAAGTGAAACAGTAAGAAATAAATACATATTGCTTTTAAATCTAATAATATTTTTAATTTCGATTGTAGTCGTCGAACAGCAAGTGATGCAGCGTGGCCGATCAATAAGTGAAAGTATAAGTGCAACAATTGGTCTCAAAAGTATTCTAAAAAAATCCATTCCAGCACACATCAGTACGGGACGTTTTTTAAGGTTTTATTTCTTCTATTTTAGACTGTGTATTTATTCTTCAGTATATTAAATATCATTTGTAATAGTGGTAAGAATATCTTTTGCTAATTTGTACACTGCTCTTGTTTTCATTTTTCACAGTCGTTTTTGTTTCGTAATTTTTTAATTTTTTTCTTTTTTTTTTCGTAATTTTTTTCTTCAAATTTTTTTTTGCTCTGTTGATTTTTCTGACAAAAATCTTATCCGAGACACTGTATTAGTTTATTATTCAGCGTGATTTCATCATAGCATTGTGAGAATCATACGTGACAAAATGCGCTATGTTTATAAATAATCGATTATGGTAGTTTATGAAATGATATTAATAAGCAGAGAAATATATGGGCTACTTTATGCTATCCATCTCATATTGTTATTGTTTAGAAGAAAGTAGCATACTAAATTCTCTTACAGCCAAACACCATGGACATTCTAATATTTGAAGCCACATTTTCATCAGTCTTATCAGATTATATTGATGATGCCTGAACTTTAGTGATATTTTAAGAAAGTTTCAACAGTAAACTTTTTTATTGGTGAGGCCTTCATATAGAGTGTAAAAAAAAAACAACTATGGAAGATGACTATGAGAAGAGCTGTGTAATATATTTTTTAAAAAAATGTAAATTTATAAGCAGCCGTTATTGCAATTTCATTTGGGACAGTATTTTAGATCATATTCGGAATGTCAAAGTAAGGAAGAGGGAGAGATAAAAGTGGTTGTCGCAGATGTAAATAATGAGAACAGCGGAGGTTTGTCTAGTATATTTTTTGTCCTGTTCTTATTTTTTTTTTAATGTATTTTTTATTAGAATTTGGTAAATTTTTAAAGAAATGAATTTCGAGTTACAGGATGTACTCCACGAAAGAAACATGTATCATTCAGTGAACGCTTGGTGCAGGAGCGATCATTTCGACCTAATTCATCTATTTTAAGTCAGAAAAAGAAGAACCAGCGAAGGCAAAAAAATAAAATGAAAAAGAAGGGTGCTCTAGCAGTGGAAGATAGTTCAACGGATGATGAAGCACGACATCGTTCAAATTCTGAAAAAGTAAACTCATTAAGCTTTTAAATTCTTTTTTCTAGTTAGGAAGCGTGACATTTATTTTTGAACTCCAGTTTTCTACTTGTATTTTATTTTTTATTTTTAGTGGTAATTCATTGCCGAAAATAGTTTCTTCTTTTTTTAAAAAATTAGTTTCAGATACATTGCGCTACTTGTAATAACAACGAGAAAGACGGAACAAATCGTAAGCTTTCTTGTTAAATATTATATCCGGAAAATTTAATTTAAATTTAAAACATTGCACGGGATTATTTCTAGTGTTTCTAATCGATATACAGTGAGAAAATGATAATTCACGGTTTTCGATTTTAATTAGTGAGTTATCGATTTCTGTTTTCAGCGATCGAATGTGATTTAGCTGCATGTGTTTTGAAAGATCATTTGGTGGTAGAGCAGGATGATTGTCATGTTGCTGCAAAAATTCATAAACATATCGTACGAATCAATTCCGATTAAAGCATTGTGTTATTTAAGTGTTAGTGAGATTGTCAGTGCTAGAAATGGAATACATTCACTCTTTAACGTTATAAAGTTTGTTTATTTCTATATTTTACTTAAGTATTCTGAATTTTTATGAACTTTAGCTCAAATTACCCAGTTTTTATCATATTATCTGTATATTTTCTTATCTTTTGGCTGCGTTGTATGATGATGAGGGAATTTGGATACAAATAAGAAAGCCGCTTTGCTGACTAGACTTCTATCTTTGATTTTGTCACTTCAAAAAAAAAAAATCTTGAGCAAACAATACTTTATGAAGTTAATGCAAAGTTACACTAATCGATATTTCGGGATTAATAGGTCGAATAATATCCGGAGTGAAGTTCCTAGGCCCAATATGAATATGAATAGAATAGAGCGGGATAAATCGAACTGGCAGTTAAAGATTTTTTTTTGAATTTCATTTATTCCCATCTGCTGTCATGTTCTATGCACGATATCAGTGTGTTGACTACCTCGCAGTCAGGTATTAAAAATTTTTTGTCCATATGTATATGATTAAATTCTTCCTTATATTATGGTATTGATATTTGTATATATTGAATTTCAACAAATGTATATGTAACGATATTCTATTTTGTTAAATGCATTTATGTATCAAGCAGTGCTCATTGCGAGAAATAAAAAAACGGTAGCCGGAAGTTTTCAAATACGGAATCGAATTTATTGAGTGTATTAAAGTTTTATGGGTTTTTGATTGGTTTTTATTTATTTTTTGAATTTCAATTACTATCCGAATAGTATTTGAAAAAAATCTTTTCGATTCCAGTACGAGAAAAATGTACTGTTGTAAAGAGCATTGAAACAAGACACATGACCTGCCTTCTTTCTTATTTTCTAAAAATTAATTCCTGAAATTCGATGTAATAGCTTATTTGTTTCATATTATAAGTGATTTCACATAAAACTTTAAAATATAGCAAGTAATGCTAATATGCATTAACATTATTACAATTATGCTAATTATCATCTGCTTTGATGTTGTATAAATAAATTTCTCGAGTAACTTCTTGGTCTATTTTCCTTTACTGACCACACCAAGTCATCATTTTAAACTCATTCCTCCTCTGACTTTCATTCCTTGCAATATGATGATAATGAATTCATCACTTTAATCTTTCTTCATTTGTCCTCTCTACGCTGTAGTTTTTCTTGTCTATCACATTCTCGAATCTCTTCCGGTCCTTCTGTCTGATTGCCAACTGATCTGTTTACTAGGAACTATTTCCATATTTTTTTTAAACTTTTTTATTCTCTATCATTTTTTTATTTTCGTTATTCTCTACTAAAGCAAAAAAAAAAAAATTAGGTATTTGAGATTTGTTTATGCGTTTCTAATTTCGCGTTGTTTTTTTGTATTTTTTTTCTTTTAAATTAAATAGAAAAATCTTAAAATTATTCATTTTTCTATTTTTACAAATATCTGCTTTGTTTATAGCTTAATTTGATTTTCTTTTTTAATAAAAATTTGCATAAATTTCGTATTTTTTTATAAATACAGTGTCAACATTCCCTAAATACAGTGCCAACATAAGAGAAAGCTTTTGGAGAAAGAAATGAAAACTGCAATATTTTGGAGCATTTATCACTTTGGGATAGTTCAGATAGTTTGAAATGCATAGTATCTTTTCTTGAAGTTCCACTTTTAAAATCATGCTTTAATTACAGTTCTCATACAGTAGCTGCAAAAATTGCGTGGAATATTGGATTAGATAGTGACTGTATACGTATATAAATATCAAACACACTTCCGTTTTTTTATA